CTTTTAACTTTTGTAATATGTGTGGCACATATTACAAAAGCATATAAGTCCAATAGATCTAAAACCTAAACCTAAACCTGAAATTATGTACTCAATAAAACAGTTCTTTGAGAAAGCTGAAAGTCTCAGAGTGCTGAATGGATTGGGTTCATTAATTGGACCCAGGGGTGAAATTCAGAAGCACAGAATCAGAGATGGTATTCGGCCAGTTCTGACAGGTTCTGGAGAACTGGTAGCAGAAACTTTGAGTAGTTCAGAGAACCGGCAAATACCACCTCTGGATAGCCCTAGGAGTGGGGTGGGAATGGAGATTTTGCAGTATCCTTCCTCTGCCACACCCACCAAGCCATGCCCACAGAACCGGTAGTAAAAATTTGTTTTGAATTTCACCATTGGTCGAAACCTTGACCAGCTCTCAATGAGAGCTATCCCCAACTCCTAGGGGGCCTTCCTAAGAGTTTCGATTTAGCCTCATCCACAAGATGTTGAGCTTAAGTCTCCAGAGCCAAAGAAATGGCATCTCAAGACACCAAAGTCTGGCTGAATCCTATGTATTAACTTTGAAAAATTCTGGAGATGAAGTGCCTTATGATGAGAAGAGAGGACATGTCTCTATCTTGGAAAGAGGCAGAAGATACAGTAAACTGAAGAATATAAATCTGACATTGGTACTTGGGACAATTCTAGAGGAAATCATTAAAAAAATGGATTGGTATGATTTTGAAGGCAATGTAATAATGACTAGAAGTCAGTATGGAATTGCTAAATTTACCTTACCTAATTTTTGGATTGGAAAATTTCCCTAATAGATTGTGGGACCACTGCACTGAATCAATTATGCAAAAGTGGAGAAGTAGATGATGTGTTTATTAATACGTTAGTTAAACGTGGGTTGGATTGCATGACAATTACAGGTACATTAGCTTACATCAACGGAAACTTACTACAGCACTGAAAAAAAAAAGGACTTACAACCAACCCTCAGAGTTCTGGCTGTTGCAGTGTTTCCACAGTGACATGAGATTTTGATAGCTATGGCAACTTTCCTCATTGGCTACCCATGAGCAAAGTCAATGGGGAAGCCAGCAGGGAAGGTTGTAGGTTAGTCTCATAAGTCATTTCCACGGCTTTTTCTCCTGAGGAGCTGTTTACTTTCCGTATACTGCAGTCTATACCATAATGCCTGCCATCCTGCAGCATCCTCCTGATTCACCCACACTCCCTAGCGCAGGGATGTCAAACTCAATTTCATTGAGGGCCACATCAAGGTTCTGTTTGACTTGGGGGGGGGTGGAGTGGGAGTGGCCAGGGTGGGCATGGTCAGCTTGCTGTCCCTTGTGTCGGGGGCACCTGTGGAGACCCAAGGTCTCTGCCACAGAAATCGGGTTCCCGAGCTCCGTTTTCAGCTGCAATGGCCTCCTCAACCCTCTGCTAGCAAAAACAGAGCTCGATTTCATTGAGGGCCACATCAATGTTGGGTTTGACCTTGGGGGGGGGCGATGGAGTGGGCATAGCCAAGGTGGACATGGTCAACTTGCTGTCACTCGTGTCAGGGGCACCTTAGGTGGCCCAAGCGCTCTGCCACAGAAAACGGGGTCACTGGCAGAGGCATCGAAGGCCAGTCCTTCACCCCATGGGGGCACCCTGGATCTAAGCACCCCACAGGCTGAATCTGGCCCCTGGAGTTTGACATTCCTGCCCTAGCACCCAATTGTGGCACCATCTCACTCCCTTTCTGCAGCCCTCATGTATGCCCAGGTAGTTCTTGCCTTCCACTGTTTGGTTGGAAGAGCACTGTGGATGTCTAGGGCTCTAGGCAAGATCAAAAAGATGACGATGTTGATAATTATTTCCAGACTGAGGCAATGGCAAATCGCTTCTATATCACATGAGGCGTCCATGTTGCTATCAAGCGCTGAGCTCAGTTTGAGTACATCCTTATGCTTGCCCAGCTGAATGACACCACCAAAGATGTCTCAGAAAGCTAAGCAGGGACAGACATTGTTAGTGCTTGGATGGGAGATTATCAGGCTATTTTGGTTGGACTGGGAACTAAAACAAGAAAATACTGCAACCATGCAAATACAAATCAAATCAAAATAGAGCTGGAAGGGACCTTGGAGGTTTTCTAGACCAGCCCCTTGCTCAAGCAGGAGATCCAATACCATAAGAGCCAAGGTGGCGCAGTGGTTAAATGCAGCACTGCAGGCTACTGCTAGATCAGCAGGTCAGCGGTTCAAATC